CCAATAGACAATCCAAGTTTCGCACCTATATAATAAAAAAGATCCACTTAGATTTTAGAACGCCCCATTCAAAGAATTCACTTCTAACAAGCATTAAAAAGTTTGAGTGGAGAGTGAAATTTTGTTGATCAATTGAATGAGTTTTTCATGTCTCAATATTTCTATTTAGAATCACAATAATTCTTAAAAATTGGCGGCTTCATAAATTTGATTAATCAACTATCTTGCAAATGGTGTCGGCGACCTCATAAAACTTGAAATTAGCAATTCTTATTTCTCTTTACAATGCCAAGCATAATAATATGCTAAATGTCTAATTATTTATAGTAGATCCCATGTAAGTCATGACCATAGTAGAATCCGAAATGTCTACAGATACAAAACCACTACGTAAGGAAATCTCAATTTTCTATTATATTGTTCATGGCAGACATTCAATCACTACGTAAGGAAATCTCAATTTTCTATTATATTGTGTCATCATGGCAGACATTCAATGTATAATATTTTATTCTAAAAACAATTGCGTGTTTTGTTTTGCTGTTAACTGTGAGTGAACTTCTATTGGTGCAAGCTTTTAGGGGCATCAACCTAGTGAGCCAACATAGCAACCAAAACCCAATAACTAAACCAAGGAACCAATGGAAGGGCCCACTCAATCAACACAAGAAGCATAATCAAATTAACATGAACTCTTAGTGAACACAAGTCATTTTACACATTGCTGACATCGTAGGATATTTTTACAACAAAATAATTTAGAAACTATGAAATAAAATAGTTAAAGGAACATCAAAACTTAAAAATGCTAATGTATTCATCTTTTTTTATACATTCTACATCTTTTTTGAGTGTCAATTTTAGTATTCCTACCAAATTTATTTGGCGTTAAAATGTTATTTTGGATAAATTAAAAATTTAATATTCATAAAATAAATTTGGACATAACTGCAGCGTTTCCCATATTGTAATACATTTATCAACATAAATGAATTTGATATTTTAATGAACAAAATACCTTTAATATCGTCATTAGTAATAGACACTATTACGATCTAGAAATAAAATTGGTATATCTGTTTTAAAAAATTGTTTGATTTTAATTTTCAAGGAGGGGATAGAAGAAGAAAACTTCAACACATCAGGAGCATATTTTTTGAAAAGAAATCAAAATAAATACATTAGAGACTGTGCTAACCAAAAATAAATAAATTTTACAACTATAATAGAGTTGAGCTTTGAACTGAGCACACCATGGATTAAACTTTTCTTGATTGTACTGAAAGGTTTTTATGTACTCCTAGAGCTTAAATTGATCTTTAATATATATATATATAGCGGTCGAAAGCTCTCCTAGGGTTTTGAATGGCGATTTCCGTCGCCTATGATTCTCTCGCTCGAAGGAGAGGGTTCGTTCCTCATCTCTATCGCAGTCTCTCTGCTTTCGCTCGTCACTTTCTGCTTGGTCGGCTCGCGTTTTTCTTCGACGCCGATGGTTTCGTCTGCATCTCTTCGATTTCGACGACGACGTCCACAGTTGTCGTTCGCGTCTGCATTGTCCTTCCTTTATTTTCCTCTCCCTGCCCGACAACTTCGGTTCGCGTCTGCTTTTTTCTGTTCGACGCCTTCCGAGTTCTCGGGACTACGCAGACAACAATTCTATTGAGATCTTCTAGCAGGAGGATTTCCTTGCTCTGATGACGTTTCCTTCTTCTTCGGTTGAACCTGATGAAGCCTCCTTTGCCTACGTGATGGGTAATCTTCAGGCGGAGTCGGCGATTGTCTTTCCCTCAAGTTATAAGGATTGTCGTGATGGTATAGGTGATTGTCCCTTTGTTAAGAATGCAAATAGGAAAAGTGGGAAAACAACATTTTTTTTCTTTGAATTAGAAATTTAAACCCTGATTGAGAAATTCAAGTTCGCTATTATTGAAAAATTTCAGTGGGGGCACCTACCTATGAAAGTTATTAGAAAATATTTTGATGACCTCAAACTGAAAAATTTCAGTGGGGGCACCTACCTATGAAAGTTATCAGAAAATATTTTGATGACCTCAAACTGACAAGAAAGTGGAAAATGGGGCTCATGGATGAGAGACATGTGTTGATTCAATTAACTATGACTGAAGACTACACTCGTATTTTCTTCAAAAATATCTTAACATTGCAGGCATGTCAATGAAGTTACTCAAGTGGTCTCCTGATTTCGACCCTAATCATGAATCTCCTACTGTACCGGTATGGTTTAGTCTACCTGGTCTCAAGCTGCACTTTTTTCATCATTAGGTTCTTTACTCTATTGGGGCTATACTTGGGGACCGTATGAAGCTAGATCTACCCACTTTCATCTTTTCTTTATGTGGCTACACATCTAAAAATAGTCACAGAATATCCTAGATACATTTGTTTTATAAAAGAAAAAGACAATCAATTTTTTAACCTATCTTCAGAGGTTCTTGATTTTTCTCCCTTCCGAGTTGATTCTTACACTCTACAACCATCATCATCATACTCATCTCGCCTAGCTAAAAGTTATCAGAAGACATCCCAAATTAAAGTGCCATCAAATAACTTATTCTTATAAAGGTCTTTTTGTTTAATTTGCAAATATTACAACCAAAAAACTTTTAAATATCAATAATGGTATTATCTTGAATAATTATGCTAAGGAGAATGAAGTTGGTTCTAATACACTCATGGTCAAATTCTTTTTCAACTGTTCAATATTTGGATATGAAGCTGGAGAGCAAAAAGCATGTGAAACTAGTAAGAAATTATTGAGTCGATTGATTTAATCAAACACAAGAAAAAGAGAGAAAAGAACTTCCTTTTAAAAAATGTCATTTAGTGGTTTCAACAATCTTAAGATGGAGACTAAAAAAAAGGAGAAATAGGGAGGAGGCATGCGAAAAGCTCTTTCAAGAAGAAAGAGGGAAAGAAAGCAATTCAGGAGGAAAATTAATCAATTGTTTCATGCTTAACCAGCTTAATGTTTATTCTAAGGCTTTTATTTATTAAATATAAGAATCAGAATCATAACAATCCACGTTCAAGAAAAGATTTGGAAACTAAATCTTGAACTCTTTTCTAGAAAATGAAAGAATGATAGGAACGAAAGAACAATTATTGTCGGGTGGATATTACCGTTCTAACTCTAGTGGACAATGTTGAACCATTTCTATCTCTAATGACAATGCTGAAGGTTATAGTGGCCGCATTATCCTCCACTATGAATAAATGAGAATAGTTTATTATTAGCATACAGGCAAAGCAAGAGTTGATAGACAATGCTGAAGGTTATAGTGGCAGGGTTATCCTTCACTATAAATAAATGAAAAGAGTTTATTTTTATGATACAGGCAAAGCAAGAGGTGATAGAATTATGCTTGATACCAACAACCAAAAGAATCTCATTTCTGCTAATTTGATGTAAAGATAAGGATTATAGGCTATATGCCGTCTGTGAAAGAGGGATAATGTTCCCCACCAATTCTGAGTGATTATTTATCTTCTAAGGAGAGATACCAGAGAATGGTTCCTTAATTAAAATTTTTTTTTGGTTGCTCATAGTCTTAACGGATATAAGAAGTATAGGATATAAACTCTCAAATTATTGCATTTACTTTGAATGTGGATTGTTATTATTCTGATTCTTATATTTTAATAAATAAAAGCCTTAGACTAAACATTTAAGCATGAAACAATTGATTAATTTTCCTCCTGAATTGCTTTCTTTCCCTCTTTCTTCTTGAAAGAGCTTTTCACATGTGAAATTGATCACCAATGTTGCTTGAAGTTTACAATCACTAAGGAATACATGGATCAGTTTGTATTTGAGGTGGTTTTGCTTGTCATCTAACAAGTCATCTTAACAACTCATACCTTCATTATAGGCTAATAGTGCTGCATTGACAACCTTATTAGCTCACAATGGAGGCGAAGTTCTTTCTCCTAGAAAAAAAATATTCATGCTAATGATAGATGTAGCAACAACGAGGCGAAATTGATTTATTAATGCAAGCTAGCAATTCCCATTGATGATAGCCTTCCTTGTTGAAGGTGAAATAGAAAGTCTTGCTCTCTTTATTGAAGGGAAGGAGGGTGACGTGTAGGCATAAATGTTGACTATGGACCAAGTCATATGATCCTATCTCTGACATATTGCTGTCAAATTTGTCGATGTACCGAAGCTCGATCATCAATTTTTGTTATATGCAAAAATGAAGGTGATAAAGGAGTGAGATCATCTACATTTACATAATGGTTCACCTCCAGCTACCCAAAAAACATTAGCAGGAAATAAGGCCTATCTTCGGAGAGAGGAATGGAGGAGTTTTCAAAAGTAGAAAAGTCTTCATTACTGAAGGAGCTTGAAGAACACCTTCTTGACAATGCAAGCCAGGGAAGGTTTATAAGTAATCAATGCCTTATCAGTTTTTCCAAGCTCGAAAGAGTAGGCATTGCCATATAAACAAAATAAATCAAACGTTATACTGAAGGTATGACTTTGCACATTTGCAAGAAGATCCTAAAAATGAAATGTTATTCAAACTACATTAATACGGAAATCAATTTCCCCTCTCCCAAAATTCTCTTTTCGCGGCTCTAAAAGCCTGCTGTCATTATTGTTGCCTTCAACTGTTGTGCAGCCATTGCCCAATTTGTGATTACTGCTTCTGCCACTTGCTGTGTGCGGGTGCTGGCCATGACCTACATACAGGGTAAATACTAACCTGACTGCTGTTTACAGCATTCTGGAATCATAATGAGGTCATCTTGTTATCTAGCACAATGAAAGCTGTTGTTTTCTATCTGCATCTATCTTTGTCTCAAAAACAGCAAGTTGTTTGCTGTCCCTGCTAGAAGTCATTCCAGTAAGTTTGAACTTGATTGCTGTTACAGCCATCTGGAAGGAAAAACTGCAACTTGACTGGCTGCTCAATTGCGGAGAAAAGGTAAGATTGAAATGATCTATCATCGTGGGCTTACATGCTAACATTGATAACATTGAGATGTTGGCTATCTATTATACTTCTAATATAAGTTTTTGTTTTTTCTGATCATACAAAATGCTTGCATCAACAATTTCTGTATGTTCATAAAATGTGTTTTCTTGGCCTTATAAGATAAAATTAAGTTTGATGTGTACTTGCACTGTTGGAAACTATGATTGCTTTGATTGGCTTGGTGCAAATATCAGGTCGTTGTATGGATTGAAACTAATAATTGCACTAGGAGCTGAAAGTAAGTTTTTGTTATTTATATACCAGTAATTGCTCCAAAAATTAGGTGGCTCATTTTGGATACATTTTCTGCCCATTAATCAATGGAGAGATCCAGGGAAAATGTACCTGTGGTGACTTTCTCTTACAAACTCATTTATTTTATTTGCATCTTAGTAGATATTATTTTTCCTCTTGATTCAGAGCAGCTTTGGGTGTTGGACTCGGTTGTTGGAACTGTGAGCTCAGATGAAAGTGATGGTGAAGTAGAAAAGGTGTTACAAACTTTGAGAAGACTACCTTCATCCCTTCCATCAAGAAAGTGCGCTCTCTCTCTCTCTCACACACACACACACACACACAATTTTTCCTCTTTTATATATGTGCTGTCTTGGTGAGTGATAACAATGGCTTCATTGTTCTATTTTTTGTTTTTCTTTGATATCCATTGAAAATGTAATTTGGTAATGTATTGCCTACACGTTTTTCATGCATTAGGAGATGATAATTTTTACCATCCTTAATGAAATTGTACATTTTGACATTTGTTTGCTTCATTAAAATAACATGCCTTGTACTTACCTCATGATTGCATTGAAGAGTTAAGAATGAAAAATTCACCCAACTAGCTTACAGGTTAAATATTCATGCTTGTTATTTTATTTTTAACATAACTCTTCTGGTTTTGACCCAATTACCAATCTTGCCAAATGGTTCATACAAACTAAATTCAGGGTTAAACATTCAGCCTTGTTATTTTGTTTTAAAATAACTCTTGGGACTTTTACTTATGATCAGTACTTGTGTAGGCCAACAGCAGAAAACATTATACAAACTTTTGTAGCCGATGCGGCTTTCTAAATTAGCTCACTCATGAAGCATCTATTGATTGCCCTTCTAATATTGATTGGAATTTAAACGGAGAAGCTATTATGAGATTATTTATTAGCCTTCTGAAATTACTTGACAAATCAAATATATTCTCCATCAAACCACATAACATGGTTAGGCTTAAACTCTTTACATGCCACTGAGCCTTTGCACAGTTCACACAATTCCTGCTCTCAGAATGTATGCCACAGCTTTTATACATTTCTGACACAACAAGAAAAAAGAGAAATGAAAAGAATTAACATGTACAAGAAAACAATTAAGACGATATGAATGAGAATAAAAGTGCTCAAATGATTATTCGTCGTTTTCGATTCTGAAACAAAAGTTTCTCCTTTAGATTTATTATTTCAATCCTCAACATTCATTTGTAACACTCTTCATTGAATAAAAAACAGATGGCTTGTCGATCACATGATTGAACATGGATTTTCGAAGTCCCTTGCTGAGTGGATTGGGAGCAACCTAAAGAATTCGGGTGATGGAGTAACCTGGACTTTTAATCTTCAAGCTGCCATTGCTATGTTTGATTCCTACCGGTGGAAGATCCTTTCATACTCTCGCTCTTCAATTCTGTGTTGGACCGAACTATTTATGTGCAGGCATTCCTTCAGATTATTGTTCATGAAACTAAAAGATTATTTTTTGAAGGGAAACAAGCTATTGGTGTTTACTGGAGCAACCCCCAAGGGGAATGGAGATTGTGGTAGTTCGGGCAGAGAATAGTGCAAGATGGCACAAGCATGTGCTCGACAAGTTGGTTTATTTATCGACCATGGAAAGGAGAGCAGATGAGGGAAAGGTGACACTTCATGTTCTTCCGAAGTCTGGTCATTGGGTACATGTGGACAACCCTAAGGGCTTACTGGAGATAATGGTACCCAATTTTATAACCATGTCTTGAATCTTTTGTACTTGCTTTATCTTGTTTCTTTCATCTAATTTTTTCTTGAATAAATTGACCGGTGTTGGCATCCCAGTGTAATCTTGTTCATGCACATGTTCATGCACCGAGCTTCTGTTTTAGTTCTGATTGACATTTATAATGTTATTCATGTTTTGACACTTCTGCATATGAATAAGAATTATCCTGCCTGATATCATTTTTGTTGCCAAACAAAAAATTTTCCTTATGAGTTGCTAGTTTAAATGCATTAGATAACATATTTTTTTCACATGTAGAATAACGGAGATACATGTATTTTAACTGAGATGCATGTATTTTGAAAATATCCAAGTTATTTGATTTGATGCAAATTGATATATTAGAATTATTTGTTTTTGTTCTTTGTTTTGAATTCTAAAGTTAAAGTCTCTCTCTCTCTCTAATAGATCAAGAAATAGGCCGGCAATCAAACTGCCCCTTGCTTCTACTAGCTTAATTGATAGCCGTTTGCTTTTTTTATTGCCATAATAAACGCATGAACTCGTTGCTCAGATACTTTGAGACTTAAAAATCATTGAAGGGCAGAGAGAAAAGCGAGCCATTTGGTTTGCAGAGGATGCAAATTGTGCTTTCATATGTTCTGAATGGCCTTGACTTCTTTGTTTTCAGATTTTGGGAGGTTTTTTTTCATTTTAATCGTTCAACTTATTTTGTACATTTAGGATAGAGTTCTATAATTAAATCTGAATGAGTTTAAGCATCTCTATTGTGATGTTTGCTAGAGATGATCCAAACCCTCGTCTCTTCTTCGTTCTGAAGGTACATATCTTATGGCGGGGAAGCTTCTATTTCTCATTGTTAACCGTTTACTCAATTTTGGCGGTGGGAAATTTCTGACATCATTTTGTCGAAATGTCCAAAAATAATTTTGTCGAAGGTATCCTAATTTTTTTTTTCAGCCAACTTGGGCACATTGACCTTGTACGCATATATATTATTTCTATCAGATTAACCTAGTTATTTTCAAACTTGATTTAAAAAGTATCTAGCCAAAAATTTAAGACTGATACTCGGGTCTCGTTTCCTACAATTGGATTTTGCCAGCACGCCCAAGAGTTTGTAGCCTTACTCATCTATTACTACAGTACTACTAAGCTTGTTATAAGAATGCCTGCTCGCTTAAGTCAATTCATTAAAAGAATTTGATAACTTATCCAAGAGTAATCGTGAATGCTGACTTATGGGTATTTGTTATTAGGACTAGTTATTAAAATTTACGGAAGAACTCAATGGAGGGGGTTCCGCTTAGCTGGATTATTTGCCTTTCCATTTTTGGCTATTGTGCAATCCCATCAAACTCGATTGCTATACTGCTTTTGTGGTTGATAATATATATATATATATATATATATAGTTCTTTTTATACTACCAAACATAAAAGATGGCAATATATAAATGGCCCAAAATGATGTCACTTTCATATTTCTTGGATCAAAATTCTATTTAAATAAATTATCAGATTTGCTTCTTTTTTTTTATTCTATTTGACCCGCCCTTATGCTCTTAAGAGTCAAATGGATCCTTTTCAAACTCTAATTAGTAGTAGAGAATCTCTAAACATTGTTTTTCATTATGTTTGATGAGCTTAATCCTAATCTTTAATAGCCTTGGAGTCACTTCATTGATTATTTTTTTTTTAAGTTGTGGTGATTATGGTCAATGCCTAAGATAAATAATGTACAATAGAGCATCCTAATGAAAGTTTCTCATAAAGCAACCATCCTAATGATTATCACAATTTAGTAGTTGAACCATATGGAGGATATTTTGACTAAAGATGACGCACAAGCATACTCTTTAAGAGAGTATTTGGCGGGCTCTTAAGTGGGGTGAATTTTCTTGTTCTTGGGCAACAATGCATGTGGTGAAGATGAGGTAAAGAAGCTTTAGGTCTTAGAGAATCATCTATGAGGGTTAGGTCATATTATGAGCTCAAGTATGGGTAGTGTATGATGAGTTCAAAAGGAAGGAATGAGTTCTTAAGGTTGATGGTGTGTGCTGAGCAATATATAGGTTTGTTGGGGTGTTGATGATGGACAATGATTTGTGAGTGGAAAAAAACTAGGAGCTGTAAAGGTGGAGATAGTTTTTTATGAGGGTGTCTGTGCTTGGATCAGTTAGATATAGGGTTCCTTAGGGCCTGGCGGCCCTTTAGTCAACTTGGGAAGGTCGTCCAACTGGAGTGGGGCCAACTCCTAATTATCTAAAACTATATATGTGCTTTATTGGTTTTTAGGGTTTAACTTTTTTTATAAATCGCTTAGGTAGAGCCATCAGGGTCTTCTTTTACCCTCCAAGTGGTGCTCTGGTTGTCTTTTTCTAGAGGTGGTGTTTACCCCTTCTGCTCGTACCCCATTTGCTCCCACATTGATTCTCTTCTCCCTCACTGCTTTCCCCCTTGCTTACGCCACTCAGAAAGGCAGCAAAATCGTTGTTTTCCCTCCCAATAGCTAGTTGAAATCCATAAAAAACAAAAATTTCTACTTTCCAACTTGTTGCCCCCCATCGTATGCTGTTAAATCGTAGTTCTAGTGATGTGTTGTTTGTTGCAATTTTTTATTTTCATTGTTGTTTGTTATGATTTCAGACTTTGAATTCAGTTATAATATATATTTTTTTCTTTTGGATGTTTTTTTGTTTAATTCTGATATTATTTGGTATCAAAGTTAGGCCAACTCTAGTTCCTTCCTAGTGTGACCTATACCCGCCAAAACATAGCCAAATTTGGACCTAACTTTAATTCTCTTGATATTCAAAATCCGCAACCCTAATTTTTTAATGCACCCCAAATCAACCTCTTATACCCTCTTCTATCTCCCAAATTAAAATCCTACCCATGTTACCTCGAAGACAAGTTCCGTAAGTTGATTGGAACTTACCATGGAAAAGATGCAGCAGAAAATTTGCCTACTTCAACGAAGACTTACTTAAGTTGAGAAAGAGATCCATAGAGAGATCATCATCGACCATGATAGTGAGATTCAAAGAGGAGTGGGAGGAAAATTTGAATCCCTCTCATAGCAAAGATTTTAGTGAAGAGGACAAACCACGACGCTTTAGGATGTCAGGTGAGGTTAAAGGATGTGTGGAGGACATGGAGATAGGAGTAAAGATAAAGTTGCCAAAATTAGAGGGAAGGAATTCATATGGCTTCATTGAGTGGTTGTAGACTGTTGAGATGATTTTTGATTATAAGGAAGTGTTAGCTGATATAAGAGTGAAGTTTGATGTTATAAAGATGAAGAAGAGTTCCTCTTTGTGTTTGGAGAATATGAAAAAAAGTGATATAGAGAAGGTAGGAACAAGTTCACTACTTGGGAGAAGATGAAAAGGAAATATACACCCCTACACTACTATCAAGACACATTAGAAAGAGTTATTAGTGCAGAAGTTCTCAGCGGAGTTTTAGCAGCTCATGCTCAAATGTGAGTTGAAGGAGTCAGAGGAGAACACCATAGCCACGTATTTGGGAGACCTAAAGTCAGCCATCAACTGTTTCCTTCACGTGTAGCTTTTTATTGGTCATTGCTTTATCTTATGGAGTGGAAGATAAGATTTTATACAATAATGAAGGAAAAAGACTAGATAAAGAAAAAGATAGAAAATAAATGACAGTTTAGCTTTCACCCATTCTAAGAATAAAGTAGTCACATAAAGAAGGTGAAATTTTAGAAATAAAATTATTTTAAAATTTGATAATAAAAAATGATAAAATAAAATTGGTCATTTTATTTCTTCTACTACATAAGATAAATTATCAAAACTCTCAAAATCTCCCTACATTCCCGTGCCTTAGGTTTCCCTTCCCCCTTACGAGCCAGCTCTCTCCCTCCCCTGCCTTAAGTTTTTGTCGAAGCCGCTCCATCAGAACGACTGAAATATAAGGACCTTCATGGTAGCACCAGCGGCAACGCT